TATATATATATATATATATATATATATATATATATATATATATATATATATATATATATATATATATATATATATATATATATATATATATATATATATATATATATATATATATATATATATATATATATATATATATATATATATATATATATATATATATATATATATATATATATATATATATATATATATATATATATATATCTAAGACATGATATATACGAGTGATATATATTTAAAAAATCATTACCAACATATATATATATCATCATCATCATCAGTGCAAGTTGGTTTATATAAGAAAATATTTACTTTGTGAAAATGAACTTAGATGGAAATTAGGTGTCAGATTTCTTTATTGGCTGGTCCATCTTCGATGGTTTCTTTTTCTTCATCGATAGTGTAAAATATGATGATAACAGTAACCAAGCTCGGTTAAACTTTGGCCCGGTTATAGTTGATGAACAAAGACAGGTGCATACGTTATGCGCACACTGTGATGCTAACTATTTTTATCCCGTGACACACTTTTACAGGTTTTGCGGAATCTGTCAATGGTCAACAACCAATAGTGATCGAGCACGCCTAAACTTTGGTACAGTTTCCAATAGAGTACAAAGACATGATGCAAACAGATTAAACTTTTGTTCACTGTAACCTACTTTCAATCGAGTGTTACAGTATGTATGACGAATAAAGGCAGGCGCATTCGCGATGTATGGAAAGGATGAGCTCACACAAGAAGCGCCAGTTTATACATTTGGTGCCATATTTGTTCGCCGATGAACGTTTCAATATCGTCCGATATAAATTGTATGTCATAATCGTATGTATGAATAAATGAAGAAGGCAAAGGCTATACATACTCCAACAAAGGGGGAGACAGGGGATTCATTATGGCGTTGGTTTATTGAATCATTCAGATATTCAGGTCGACGGAGACGAGGAGGCCATCGACTTTGTGAGGGAAGTACATTATTATCCAAAGAAGTTCGTTCGAAGTGTATCTTTTTCCGAAGAGGTTTATTCGAAGCGCATCGTTATCTGAAAAAATTTATTGAAAGCGCATCATCATCCAAAGAAGTTTGTTCGAAGTGCATCATCGTATGAAAAAGTTCATTCAAAGTGCATTCGAAGCGCATCGTCGTCCAAAGAAATTTGTCCGAAGTGCATCATCATCTAAAGAAGTTCGATCGAAGTTCACTATCTGACGGTACATCTCATTAAGTTAATTAAACTATAGATTTTAAATAACAATAATAATAATAATAATAATAATAATAATAATAGTAATAATAATAATAATAATGTGAACATATTTTATTTATTCAATCGACAAAATAAAATTCAAAATAATAAGAAATAACAAATAAGAAATAAATTGAAGTTTAATAAAATTGAGTTTTAATGAAATGTACCATCCTCCTAAGCTCGATGACGTTACAAGTGCATAGAAGTGAAAGATATATTTAATTATGCATTGTTTCTCTCGCAATAAATACTATATGTCGAGCTAATAACAGTATTAATTAATTTTACTTTAAAATAATTTGGCCATGTAGTTTTAAAAATAGATAGGTTCAAGTTATTATAAAAACCAATTGGCGATATCTCAAATGTGTTAACTGTTATAGAGCAGTTTATAAAGTTATTATTTAAATGTTGTTTCAGATTTTTGTACTTTGCACTTTTATATCGTTTAGATGAGAGGAGGTTAGTCTCATGACATATCGTCAACTCGATCACCTCTATTTTTCCACCCCGCAGAACAGCAACATCTAGCAACATTCGTAGCGTGTGAAACAACTGTGCCAGTGCCGATGTTGAACAACAGTTAGACACGACATGATTTTTTATCTGGAGAACGCTGCAGAGCGGACATAAAAGAGTCGTAGTTTTGCCCCATTGAAACATATTTGAATTGGTGGGCAATTGTTGAACCAGGTATTTTCTTATGAACCTGTAAAATACCCCGGATAACTTCTCAGTAGTTTTGAACCAACAAGTTATTTGTGCTGGACTTATATGTTGGCCAATTGCTTAAAGTATGATTCCCTGAGATTGCAGTTCGCTGATGTGGTTGAGACACGATTTCACTTTGTCATCTTTCAGAAGCTTAAGAGACAGCTTTAGCGAGCCTGTTTCGTCCAGCGAGCTGATTTGATGAAATTTGAAGTTGTTTCGCTCCATAGGCATTTGATTTCATCACTAATGCTGTTTTATAGATAGCTGCGGATTTTCAATTTTATTTTTTCTGAAGTCTCTTTTAATGACACAATGTTGTTACCGCAAAGTTTCGTTGGCAGCAAAAGTATTTGCGATACACAACCGCTAATAAGCACAGAAAGCCACTCTCTGACATTATTTATTATCAAATTGTCCAGGTTACACGATATCCAAGTTGGTGTAAAATGATAGCTTTGGAATTCAAATTGAAGCTGCGAAGGAATGAAATATCGCAATATTTGAAGTTTTTGTTGTGGTTTGATGTCTAGAGCTGAAGTGGTATCCAGCAATTTTGTCAATTTCAAAACGATTTCTTTTTTGGCCTCCGTATCTTTGCCCTCAAAATCATATAACCTGCCCAGATAGACAAAACTCTTTCCTATTTCTATACTCGGATTAACATCGTTGTTAATTGTAAACCTTGGAATAAACTGAACATAGGCGCCGTCTTTTTTCCTCACGCCAAATGAGTTGCATTTGTCTATTCTCCTTGTCATGTCCGACCAATTGCACCATGTAGAATTCAAATCGATCAACTTCTGGGCGGCCTCAGAACTGTGGGCGATTATTGCCGAGTCATCCGCAAACTGGAGCCAGGATTTAGTTTTCAGTTCAGACGTTGAGCCTCAGATATAACCACAGCCAGTGTACTCTTGAGTTTCAATAACTTTCATTAGCGGATTGAAACATAGGTTGAAGAGCAGGGGCGAACACGGATCACCCTGGAGAACCCCTTTCTCGACCTGCAGTGCCGATGTTAATCCCTTTCTCGACCTGCAGTGCCGATGTTAATTTATTATTTATTGGGACGAATATTGAGTAGTCCGAGTAGATAGACATTATCATTGATTTTATTATGTTGGGAACATGATGAAATGTTAATATTGAATTTATGAGATAATGGCTCACTTCACCAAAAGCATTTTTTAAATCAAGAAGAGCGACGATAATTGTTTGTTGATTTTTCCTGGCATCTTCAAGCAGGTGGGTCAACATTTGCGTGTGCTCTACCAGGCCGTCGACATCAGGATAGAATCCTTTTTGGATGCTGGTGTTGATGAAGTTATTTTTCTGAAAGAAGTTATACAATCTATTTTTTATTAATGTTGAAAGAATTTTATAAAGAATGGGTTGTAATGTTATCGGTCTATAGTTTGCCGGATCGCCGGCATCTCCCTTTTTATATATTAAAATTGTTAAGCCCTTCCTCCAGCAACCTGGAATTGTAGATGCGACCCAGCATTTTGAAAGTAGTTTGTGCAGATATGTTCTGAGTATTGGACATTTCTTAAACATTATAATAGATATCTGATCTAGTGGGCACGGTAAAGCGCTTGATCTACTTCGATGAACAATTGATGAAACTTCTTTGTAAGTTGGCGGATCAATATTGCCATTGAACACCGGCGGTTGCAGAGGAGGGATCCAATCAGGGATTGCAAAATGTGTTCTATCACCCGCTTTCATTACGCCGCCAAAGTGATCAGCCCCTTTGTCAACATCAAACAGTGGAGGCAGTGGTGTGGATAGCGAAAATGATTTTTTACAAGTTTTCCAGAAGTTTTTTGACAGTTGAACGGATATTTTTGATTGACCGACAGCTTTTGATATCTTTTCTCGGTGAATTTTTGATCTGATCAATTTGCTCAGACTTCTTATTTCGTCAATAAAACTGTTGTCATTTTGACGAAGGATTTTTAGATTTTTTAGTTTCTTTTTTAGTTTTCTAATGTCGGCGTTGACGTTGACAACTGTTGATTCTTTTGGTTTTAAGATGCCATACGTATCTGCGAAATATTGGTATATTGTGTTTTGCAGTAGGAGGGCATAACTGTCGATAACTTCAATATTGTTAAGGTCATTTAGTTTATGGTGAAAATATGCGTTGGCCTCTTCCTACTGCTGTTTGATTTTGGGCAATAATAATAATAATAATAATAATAATAATAATAATAGTCACAACATTAATAATACTAGTAATAAGGGTAGTAAACAAAATAACAACAAAAACAATACGGAAAATTTTTTATTTATTAACATCTTAATTGTTTGATTACTAATCATTGTCAAAAGAGTTTATAAAAAATTATTTTGTAGTATTGTATTTGTAAAATATTAAAAATGAGTCAACGCTTGAAAGAAGACTTGCGAGCGTGCGGAAAGGCCGGTCCGTACGCCCGGCAAGAAGGGCGAAACATCTCTTTTGCCCAGCCCGTATATTCCGACCCTGAGGTCGGTAGAAGATATTGTAGACTGGCGAGTCCTGGCCAAGGGAACGACCGCCTGAGTGAGGAAGGTGAGGGTGTGCGGTATCGAGCGACAGGTGGCGTGTGCGATCCCCACGGTGCTGATGACCGACACCGACCTTACCGTGTCGACGATCGCCGACGCAGCGAGGATAGCGGCGGCTACGAGCGCGTCGACGGAAGAGGCGGTAGGGGAGAACACCGCAGCATCCTTCACGGTGTCGACGAAAACTCTACAATTGGTGCCCAACGTGGGGCTTCATCCTTTTCAAACAATACAGGTCGAGAGCAAGTCGACAGGCGCATGGATCGGACAGGGATGAGGATTCACCAGCGTGTGATGGACCATCGTTACCCTCTAGAAAGTCTGAAGTCAACGTTCAACGCATGGGTTTCGAACGGGATGATCGTCCCAAGTCACGTAGTTACCTGTTACCTGACAGGTTTGATGGTACAGGATGCCTAAGGATGTTTATGAAGAAATTTGACATATGTGCGAGGTAAAACCGATGGAGTTCGGAAGATATGGAAGCACATCTGTCTTGTTTATTAACAGGTGAAGCCGCTCAGTGTCTTTGGGACCTGACAGGGCTAAGATACCACGAGTTGATGTCAAAGCTCGAGGATCGTTTCGGGACGAGAGGTCACGAAGAATCGTACAGACACAAACTGCACATTCTTCGTAGGAAGCATGCCAAATCCCTCGGTGAATTGGCACAAGTGACCAAACGCTTGATGTCATTGGCGTACCCTGGGAAATAGTCAGCATTGGCACGATAGCTTGCCAAAGATTTTTTCTTGTCAGCCTTGGGGGATGCCGAGCTGGAACTAAAAGTCAGAGAGAAAGAGAGAACCGAGGAACATCGACGATGCACTCAGGTTTGCCCAACGACTTGAAATCACAAGATCATCGGTTAGCTCATCTAACAGGTCAACTATCCAGGTCGTGGAATCAGAAAATCAAACCAGAGTGTTGAAAACGTTGGAGCGGTAAATGACAGAACTACGTTAAATGTTTGAAGAGTTCCACCATAGCCCTCGAAGTATTACGCAAACCAAGAAAGAGGGAGACTGTTACAGATGTGGTCAGTCAGGCCATTTTCTATTCAAATGCCCGCAGAAGGCGAAGTCAAACGAGCATAAACAAATCGACAAAGCAACCACAAAAACTTGCTACAGGTGTGGAAAGCCGGGTCACTTTTCAAGGGAGTGCCCGCAAGGCAAAGGTGTCAACAAGGACGTGGGTCGATTGAACCAATCGACATGCAGCAGTGGCCAAGCCATTTACTTGCCAATCTGTGTAGATGGTAAAAGAAAACTGGGTTTGCTGGATAGTGGCAGCAGCGTCTCAATCCTCCCAACGTCGATGGTAGATGTATCGAAGATTTAGCCGATGTCAAAATCCCTGAAAGCAGCCAACGACACAGAAATACCAATCAAAGGGCAGATTGAACTGCTGATCGAGGTTGGCAAACACTCCAGGCCAGCATTATTTTTGGTTTCGGACAGTGTATCTGAAATCTTGCTGGGTTTGGATTGGTTGAAACTCAACGACGTTTTGTGGAAGTTCGGGCAGACGAAAATCACTATTGGGAAGGACTCAGCAGCAGTGGGGCTGGTTACCAAAGATGTTGGTGTGAACCGGATGTGCCGAATAGAATCCAACAGGGAGGTAGAAATTCCTGCAAGGACGGAGTTCGACGTCCCATGAAAGATCGTTGTTCGACAGCCATCGAAATTTGAAGTTAATAGATATGTGTGTTCCGATAGAGCACAACTACAGCCAGGTGTGTTTGTTGCTCGGACAATACTTCCCATGTTGTTCCGAGAGCAATGTATCCAAGTCATAAACATCAACGACCAACCCCGAGTGATACCTTCCGGAACACCGTTGTCGAACCTATAACCTGCAAATGAAGAAATGGACGATGACGGGTATGGAGATACGTACCTGATGAAAGTTTTGATCAAGCCACTAATCAAAAACATACCAGAAGAAGCAACGATTAGGTTAATTAAACTTTTGAAAAACTTTTCAGATGTCTTCAGTTGCTCTAAACAGGAAATCAGGATGGCAAAAGGGGTCTACCATAAAATTGAAACACAGGAAGCTCGCCCTGTCAAACAGCAGTTGAGGAGGTACCACCCTGCTCATAAACGAGTGATTGCTGAACAAGTGGATGAAATGATTGAGCAAGACGTGATTGAACCCGCACATGGGCCGGGGTCTTCAAACATAGTACTGGTGAAGAAAAAGGACGGTTCATATCGTTGTTGTATCGACTATAGAAGGCTGAATTCTCTGCCAAGGATCGACGTTTGTTTAGACGCCATGTCAGGGGCACAATGGTTTTCAACGCTGGACCTCAAATCTTCCTATCACCATATCGAGATACATCCTAAGGACAGGGATGAAACGGTGTTCGTATGCAACAGGGGCATGTTTCGATTCAAAAGAATGCCTTTTGGTCTGTGCAACGCCGGGGCCACGTTTCATCGGTTGATGGATTTAGTCTTGTCAGACTTATGCCTTAATACGTGTCTGGCTTATATCGATAACATTATAATTTATTCGAAAAATTTACAGGAACATTTTTTTTAGGTTGAAACAGGTTTTTCTGCGATTGAAAAAAGCCGGATTGAAATTGAAAATGGAAAAATGTGAATTTTTAAGATCTTCAGTGGCATTTCTGGGTCATGTAGTGTCAAGCGAAAGTATCGCGACAGATGAAAAAAAAAACAGAAGCCGTTCGTGACTGGCCAACTCCTACGACGCTGACAGAAGTTTGAGGATTTTTATGTTTAGCCGGCTACTATCGCAGGTCTGTACAAAGGTTCTAAAAATAGCCAAGCCATTGAATTAACTGCTCAGGGGAAGTCAAAAATTCCGGTGGGGACCAAGGCAACAAGAAGCGTTCGAAAAATTGAAATGTGTTCTGACGACAACACCAATATTAGCCATGCCAAACGAATACGATCCGTTCTTTTTGGACACTGACGCTTCGCATCGAGCCATCGGAGCTGTCTTGTTGCAAGTTCAAAAAGACAAGGAAAGAGTCATCGCTTACGCCAGCCGGACTCTAAGCCGAGCTGAGGAAAACTATTGAACGACTAGAAAAGAGCTATTGGCTGTGGTGTATTTTCTTAAATTTTTTAAGCAATATTTACTAGGCAGACATTTCACAATCAGGACAGACCATGCACCACTAACCTGGTTGCGAAACACCCCTGATCCAATCGGACAACAAGCCAGGTGGTTGAAACAGCTGGAAGAATTCGATTTCGACATTCTACACAGAGCGGGGACTAGGCACGGAAACGCCGACGCGTTGTCAAGAAAGCCATGTAAGAAGACGTGTTGCAATGACGATAGCCAAGTCGTTAAACAGGTGAAAGTTGTGGAATGCGTTACGGATCTGAAAGAAGCTCAAGAAAAAGACGACATCATAGAGCCACTAATGAAGAAGATTTTTGTGAACGCTCAGAAGCCGTCGTGGAATGATGTTTCTGGTGAAAGCGAAATGTTCAAAACACTCTGGCATCAATGGGAGCGTTTGGAAATGAAAAATGGACTGCTGTGTAGACGGTTCGATGTGATGCCCGCAAACAATGTAGAGTGGCAAGTTTTGGTACCCAAAAATGTGGTAGAATCAATTTTGTTAACTGCCCATACAGGTGTGACCGGAGGACATCTGGGGATTGCAAAATTGAAAGAACTTGTACAGCATAGATTTTATTGGCCATCGTGGAAGTCAGATGTCGAAGCGTTTGTAAAAAGTTGTGATAAGTGTTGCAGGTATTACAGAGGGAAACCACCACGCCATGCAACTATGAAGGTAATGTTGTCAGGGTTACTCTGGGAACGGATAGCGCTGGACATCACGGGACCGCACCCCAAATCGAAAAAGAAAAACGTTTACATTCTGACGATTCTAGATCATTTCACAAAATGGGCCGAAGCATTTCCGTTGAGGAGGCATACGGTGGCATCAGTTGCCAAAGTATTAACTACAGAAATTTTCCCTAGGTTTGGAATGCCGAGGCAAATCCTTAAGGATCAAGGTCGTGAGTTCGAGAGCAGTCTGTTCAACAAATTACTCTGCAGATTTGACATCGAGAAGATACGCACGTCACCGTACAATCCATCTGCTAACGGAGCAATCGAAAGGTTTCACAGGACGCTGAATTCGATGTTGGCGAAGGTAATACAAGATTCACACAATGGTTGACGGAGATGAAAGCTAATTTTCCCTCAATATCAACTGTAGATTTGTGGAAAGGATTTGTTATTGCTAGGGCAGCGATGTGTGAACTAACGGCGCGTCTTTTGCCCGGGTTTGATATGGGTCAGGGTACAAGAGAACTACCAAAGTAAAGAAAAACTCGTGGCAAAAGCCAGGAAGGTGGTCAAACAATTTCTGGTTTTTGACAGCCTTTCACCAATGGAGTCTAGCGTAGAGAAGTGTTTGGACCCGGAAATTACAGTGTCACATGGTAAACAATCAACAGCGGCAGTTTCATCTGATACGAAGAATCCTGAAAGCCAGACAAAGAATTTAGAAGAAGTCCCGTCTAAACTTTCCGCGATCAACCACACCGAAAACTTAGGAGGATCCCGGTCTGAATTTCTCGCGACCAGTTAGGAATCCGGTGCGATGATGCACGATAAGGCGTGTACAGAGGTTGCTGACGGATTATTTCTGGTAGAGCACGGGATGAAGACGAACGCGTTGCAATCCAATTGGAAGAATCGATTTGCTGAGATGGATAAATGGGAGTCTGTCATCGAGGATCGGCGGGAAGGACGATGGTCATCAAACCTTGTTAATGACGCCGAACGTGGTGGATCAAGACAGCGAACAACGCGGGCAGCCCCTGCCCAAAGAAAATGAAGCGGCCGTCACGATGGGATCAACCCAACCATCCGAGGATGAAATGTTCCTAGACCTTGGGTTGGGTGAGGACGACTTTTGATACCGGTTGAGCAAACGTCGAGGACGACGTTCAGTAGAGGGGGGGGCTTTGTAAAATTTGAGGATAACAGTAACCAAGCTCGGTTAAACTTTGGCCCGGTTATAGTTGATGAACAAAGACAGGCGCATACGTTATGCGCACACTGTGATGCATTTATATGCGCCAGTTTATACATTTGGTGCCATATTTGTTCGCCGATGAACGTTTCAATATCGTCCGATATAAATTGTATGTCATAATCGTATGTATGAATAAATGAAGAAGGCAAAGGCTATACATACTCCAACAAAGGGGGAGACAGGGGATTCATTATGGCGTTGGTTTATTGAATCATTCAGATATTCAGGTCGACGGAGACGAGGAGGCCATCGACTTTGTGAGGGAAGTACATTATAATCCAAATAAGTTCGTTCGAAGTGTATCTTTTTCGAAGAGGTTTATTCGAAGCGCATCGTTATCTGAAGAAATTTATTGAAAACGCATCATCATCCAAAGAAGTTTGTTCGAAGTGCATCATCGTCCGAAGAAGTTCATTCAAAGTGCATTCGAAGCGCATCGTCGTCCAAAGAAATTTGTCCGAAGTGCATCATCATCTAAAGAAGTTCAATCGAAGTTCATTATCCGACGGTACATCCCATTAAGTTAATTAAACTATAGATTTTAAATAATAATAATAATAATAATAGTCACAACAATAATAATACTAGTAATAAGGGTAGTAAACAAAATAACAACGAAAACAATACGGAAAGATTTTTATTTATTAACATCCTAATTGTTTGATTACTAATCATTGTCAATAAAATTTATAAAGAATTAATTTGTAGTATTGTATTTGTAAAATATTAAAAATGAGTCAACGCTTGAAAGAAGACTTGCGAGCGTGCGGAAAGGCCGGTTCGTACGCTCGGCAAAAAGGGCGAAACATCTCTTTTGCCCGGCCCGTATATTCCGACCCTGAGTTCGGAAGAACATATTGTCGACTGGCGAGTCCCGGCCAAGGGAACGACCGCCTGAGTGAGGAAGGTGAGGGTGTGCGGTATCGAGCGACAGGTGGCGTGTGCGATCCCCACGGTGCTGATGACCAACACCGACCCTACCGTGTCAACGATCGCCGACGCAGCGAGGTTAGCGGCGGCGACGAGCGCGTCGACGGAAGAGGCGGTAGGGGAGAACACCGCAGCATCCTTCACGGTGTCGACGAAAACTCTACAATAGCATCATATTCTTCTTTGTCATTATTTACAATGCTAGATTTTATTACTTCTTTGTTTTCATTGTTGATTAAGCGTCGGGTTGGGAGTGAGGTTGTCATTTTTTGTTGTATATTTATTTTTGGTTTATTGATGTCAATTAGGACTGCTTCTGCACTTTTAAGATGCGTGTAGTTGCTGTTCTGGTATATTACTTTGGTGTTGCTGTCGAGGATTTCACGGCTTATTGTGATTGAGTGTGTTGAGTCCAAATGAGATTTGATAGCACCACTCTGTTTATCATCGTAAGCCTTCTAGTCATTGAGGTAGTAGTAATCCCGATATATGAGTCATGTTGACGTGCACAGCCGTCAAAGGGGCAATTAAATTCATATATTACGTGATTACTATTTAACACAGGTTATCTCTAGGACTACAATTGTTTATCATTATTAGGTGAGACGTCTTTTTATTGTTGTAATAAATTCGAAGTTTAACTTTACTATTTGGGAAAATAAGTTTATTTTGAATTTTAATAAACTAAACGTTTTCCAAAAAACTTTAGTGCGAAAAATCAAAAAAACGAACTACTAACTTATTAATTTCTGGATTGATGAGTTTGTAACTAAATTTTTCAATTTTTCGAACAATTATTTTATCGATATTATTCAATTTATTCAAATTAATAATACAATTTTTAATTATTTTAGACTGCATTTTTCATATGTACATTTACAAGCATTTTTCGGTAAACTTTACCATCGTCAGTGACTATGTATATATTTTGGGACGTCAGAATTTATTATAAAAATAGTATGTCCTCATCATATAAAAACACACACACACACACACACACACACACACACACATATATATATATATATATATATTCTATAAATTCTACCGAATGTTTGGCGTTAATATGTTTGTAATTCGTTTTTTCAATTTTTCTCACTAAAGTTTTTTGGTGAATTCAAAATAAACTTATTTTCCGAATTCATGTGGCAAATAAGGCCATATTTCGATTCCGAATGAATCATCATCAGTGCTTTTTGCTGTTTATATAGGAAAATATTGACTTTGTCAAAATGAACTTAGATGGAGATTGACTTTGTCAAAGTGAACTGAGATGGAAAATAGGTGTCAGGTTTCTTTATTGGCTGGTCATCTTCTTTGGTCTCCTTTTCTTCATCGATAGCATCATATTCTTCTTTGTCACTATTTACAATGCTAGTTTTTATTACTTCTTTGTTTTCGTTGTTGGTTAAGCGCCGGGTTGGAAGTGAGGTTGTCTTATTTTTGTTTTTTTGTAGTTTGTTTTTTCAATTTTTCTCACTAAAGTTTTTTGATGAACGTTTAGTTTATTAAAATTCAAAATAAACTTAATTTCCGAATTCATGCTGCAAATAAGGCCCTATTTCGATTCCGATTCCATATTTCGGCCCCGGGTTGGAAGTGAGGTTGTCATTTTTTAGCATCTTAGTTCACTTTGACAAAGTCAATCTCCATTTAAGTTCATTTTGACAAAGTCAATATTTCCCTATATAAACAGCAGAAAGCACTGATGATGATTCATTCGGAATCGAAATATGGCCTTATTTGCAGCATAAATTCGGAAGATAAGTTTATTTTGAATTCACCAAAAAACTTTAGTGAGAAAAATTGAAAAAACGAATTACAAACATATTAACGCAAAACATTCGGTAGAATTTAAAAGTTCATCATATATATATATATATATATATACATATATATTATGGGACGTCATAATTTATTATAAAAATAGTATGTCCTCATTATATAAAACAGATATATATATATATATATATATATATATATATATATATATATTAGTTTATTAAAATTCAAAATAAACTTATTTTCCGAATTCATGCTGCAAATAAGGCCATTAGGAATAGAAATATATATTTATATTCAATAAAGCTTATATAAAAGCATTCAAAAATAAAAGAGACAAGGTAAATGATTCAGGACTGAAAAATAAATTGAATTAAACATATATATCTACCGAACATGTCATTGTTCAAAAAGAAAATTTGCAGGATGATGGAAAAATTTAAACATGCATGAAATAATACATATATATGTACAGACACACACGCACACACACACACACACACACACACACACACACACACACACACACACACACACACACACGGAACACACACGCACACACACACACATGTACATACAGAAATAAAATATACAGGAGTATGAAATTAAATTAGAACAAATATAATAAAATTTTTCAAAATTAAAATATGCATGATTGTTGAAACAAAGTATGTATACAAACAATATATATATATAAATACTCAAAGACAAAATATGCGTGCTATTAAAATACAAACCATTTTTTTAAGACAAACACAAAACAGTGTCTGGACGTTTGCTTTTAGAATTTTTGAAATAGAAATGTAAAAATACAAATTGGATTAAATTGAGTTAAATTCCATGTTAGGGAATGGATTTAAATATTTGTTGAGCTTGTCGTCAGAAGCCTTGGTTTACGCGGTTCCACCGGATTGACTAGTGAGATTAATGTAACGTTTGGCCAAAGTGTCGTGTGATGTGACATCTCAAACCATAGAACGCCTAGCCTTTTACAAGATGATGTTGCACTTGTCTGGACGTTTGCTTTTTGAATTTTTGAAATAGAAATATAAAAATGCAAGTTTTTTCAAAATTAATATTGTATATATATTATTCTTACAGTTCCAATAATTCCAAATCTTTTGTACAAGTTGGAACATCCAAATGATGTTGATTGTTCGCTTTCAAAAACTACGTCACATGTTCCTTACAACAGCAAAGCAGTTGAAAAATTGTTTATACAAGAAAACGGATCAAACAAAAAAAAAAAAAAGATCGGTAAGCAATATAATTAAAACCTTGACTTAAATAATTATGATTTATTCAATAAATTTATTAAAAAAAAGTTTTTCACTTGAAATGTCAGATAAAAGCATCACAAATGATTTATTAGACAGTAAAATAAAGTTCAAAATGAAAGGAGATCCAAGTTTTAAAAAACCTAGGAAGCATAAAAAACCAATGAGTACCACTCCTACTTTTACTACAACTTTTAAGATGTACGATGATACCACTATTGCTTGGTGCATGATAAATTTAACTCACAGGTTTGAAAACAAAAATTAAACATAAATTAGCATGAAATTAAACGAATAAATTTTATATATTTATGAACTAAATGGACGATCAAAATATATTTATATAAAACACTCAGGTTATACGAAGACGGAAGCGTCAAAGTTTTAACTGATGAAGAAGCGTACAAAACACGCCATGATGCTATTATGAGCACAACCGTTGAAGTTGGGCTCATGTTTGCTTCTAAAGCTATCGTACAATTAATAGCCAATCCATTTGTTGGTTCTCTTACAAATAAGTCGTTTCAGTTTGATGGTGATATTCTTTATTAATAAGAATAATGACATTTTAAATTAAATGCACCAAAGTTTTTCTATAATAGACTTTTTTATTTTATATAAAAATAAGTTCACAAAAATTAAATTAATTTAATAATTTGTTATATAAATGGTTTTGATTTTTTTTATTGCTAGGATAAATTTTTTATTTTGACGTGGGTAGGCCTTTGGTCATAACCGTATATATATATATATATATATATATATATATATATATATATATCGACTGAAACATGAACTTAAAACTAAAAAAGAGCTAATAACAAGAACGAAGAATGAACTACGTGCTTGCAAAACAATTTGGGACAATGCTGATGTCAACTACAAACTTTAACGTACTATCACTAACTATTTACATCAAATCAATTGCAACTACGATAGAATTAACAAAATAAAAACCCAACAAAGGCTCAGCAATTTAAAAAATGTAAAACCTATGAATGTAGACCACTTTACTAATTTAAGTAAATATCAACCGACAATGGCTGAACAACAATTTTTTAACCTCGGACTCATTTGTCATTACATGAGAAAAACTAAGAATCTTAAAAAAAATTGAAATTGAAAAATTAATGGATGACTTTCAAATTAGAAAGTCAAAAACATATAACACTCAACACAAACATTGTTAACGACCTAAAAGTTGAAAGCAAAAAGTTGAGAGGTGATTTTAAAAACAAGATTTTTACGAAGAAATTGATCAATGCTGCAGCAACTTTAAAAAATAACAACAACATTATTATCCGAAAAGCTGACAAAACTCGAATGTATGTTAATATGAATAGAGATGATCACAATGACAAACTGAATGAAATTCTCGGTGACATTGATAAATTTATTAAGATTAGTAGTGATCCAACTGCTAAGCTTAAGACAAAGTTGAACGAGATCAGCAGAAAAATTAATGAATAAACAGAAGGGAAAATATTCAAACTTTACTGGCGAATATGAACTTGGATATCTTACGGCACAGTCAAGACACATAAAGCCAACAAACCTTCACGACCAATAATCAGCCAAAGACCAGCGATCACTTGCCCCATTGCAAAAATGATCAACAAAATAATTACACCTTATATCCTAAACAGCTATAACCTAAAATCAAATAGAAAATTCATAGACAGTATATATATATATATATATATATATATATATATATATATATATATATATACACTACACTGTCCACAACAAAATCATTCATTAACACTAAAATAGCATCTTTGGATGTGGAATCACTCTTTATAAATGTTCTTTTAGAGAATACAATCAGTATAATAATAGATAGATAAGACAATTCCAGTCATTCACCACTACCAATTCCAAAAGAAAAATTAGTTGCGCTGCTAAGAATATGTACAGCCAAAGCACCTTTTGTTGGCCCGGGTTACACATTATATCAGCAAATAGACGGTGTAGAAATGGGCTTTCCATTGGGGGTACTCTAAGCAAACTTTTATGTTGGACATATCGAAGAAATGTTATTTAAAGAAGAACCAGAGCTAAAGCCTACTATAAACTGCCGATATGTTTACAATATATTTGTTACATATGATGATCATGATCAAACAGAAAGACTTCTACAACGACTAAATTAGTCAAAATTAAACTTTTCAATGGAAAAATCAACTGACAATAAATTACCATTCTAATACAAAATGTGCAAAATGAATTTAAAACCTCTGTACACACCAAAGCAACAAACAAAGGTTTATGCCTCAATGGAATTATTGAATGTTGTCAAACATATCTAGAGAGCACGACCTCCGCCTTCGTAAACCGAGCCTACACCCACTCTTCTGATATAGGAAGCAGGAGAACGGAACAAAATAGAATCACATAACTACTCATTAACAATGGATATAAAAATTTCATGATCCAAAAAATAATAGAACGCAAAGAACTAAAAATCAGCAACAAAACAATGCATATTATAAGAATCACATGTCAACTGCTTTCGGACTGGATAAACAAATCATGAAAAGAATCATAAAAAAATAACTTCCAAGCAACAAATGAAAACGATATTATTAACTACGAATATACTACTCCAACCAAAAAACATCATCTCTTGTGATGAAAAACAACTGCACAAGTAAACTAGAATCGATAATATGGATCATAGCCATCTAATATATTTGTTCAAATGTAATATTGGTGAGTGTGGGCACTATAATTCTGAATATGTTAGTATGACGACGATCAAGTTATCGAGAAGACGCACGATACACGTACAATCACATAAAAGAGAAACAAAACTAAAATTACTAAACATATCTTGGACCACAATGTTGAAATCTTACATTACAATAACGACCATTGTAATTTACGACTAGCCGAATCAATGCTCATAGGACAAAAACAACCGATAATAAATATTCAACAACGTGCAATTGGAATCGTTTTAACTAATAAATTTACAAACAGAAGAGGAATCATCGATAATGAAAACACGTAAAAGTGTGTAAATTATATTTCATATAATTATCTATGTATTTCTATTCTGTGCTTGTAAATTATGTTTCATTACTTTGGTATTATCTTATATATAAATGCAAATAGCACGTGGTTATATTTTATTATTATTGTTGGCTTTGTAAACGATCCTGGAATTTAATTTTTCTATTTAGATTAATAAATCAGGTTATTCGAAAGCAAACTTATAAATTAATTTCCAAAAAGAAGATGGCTTCAAAAACAAGTAAGTTGTATTTTCATATTATTAAAAGAAATAATGACGAATTTGAATTAGCGGGCATATCGGAAAATAAAGAAGCATGGCATGTTCTACCTGAAGAGAAGAAAGATTTAAGTTTGCACGAAGCTCTATCTACGAAGCGAGCAATAATCAATACAATTAATTCTATCAAACCTATCAACGGTTATCGCACAATTTGCATCAAACTCGATGATGAATTGAGAAAAGAATATTACGACGAAGACGAAAATCTATGTTTTTCAGATAATATGTTAGAAGAAAAAATTATTGATAATAAACATAGAGATGAATCAGATGACAATTTTTTAAATGAACGAATTAAGGAATTAGAAGCTAAGCTAAGTCTGAATGATAACTTTAAGCTGCAAGACGTTGAAAAAATTTATTCTGGAAAAATTCAACAAAAAAGCAAAACCCTACTGAATGGATAGAGAAATTTGAAAATGAATGTAGAAGGCATAAAATACTAAATCCTACTAATGTCATAGAAGCATTACGCTTCTTTTTATCTGGGTCACCGAAAGATTGGTACGAATCAAATTAAAAAAAGATCGGCTTAACTAATTGGTCAGAATGGAGAAAGTCCTTTCTGACCATTTTTGCAGATAGAGGTTAGGTGGTTCTTTAATTGACTATGCCTTAGCGAAGGAAAACCTATGTTTAGAAATTGAAATGTTGAGAATAAACATGATCGTTATGGGCCTTCCTGTAGAAATACAAAACCAGCTTGATAGAGAAGAAATAACGACCATTGAGAAACTGTTCAAAGAACTAACAAAAATTGATGAATGCGTTTCTAACATCAAGCCGATATATGACAATAAATTTTTAAGTAATGAAATACCATACAATACGGATGTCAAGACAAAGCGTCATTTTAGTTCAAAACCAAAATTTTCGTTTCTTTTACACATGATATAACAGAAAAGCTTTTTTCGGTATTCCTATACCATCTTCGGTGTTCAAATTGTTATGTTGTGTTTGTGCCCAGATGCTTAAATATATATATATATATATATATCCTGTGCCTCAACTCTATTTTGTTGAATCCATGTTTGTTTAAGGTGAATACTTAGCTTTCTTAGCTTTACAATTTTCGACTTTGTTAAATATAACACTTTTACATGTTTTAATTATCGATGATTCCTCTCTAAATTTATTGGTTGGAAGAATTCCAATTGCACATTCTTGAATATTTATTATCAAATGTCTTTGTTCTATGAGTATTGATTCGGCTAGTCGCAAATTATAATGGTTGTTATTGTAATGTAAAATTTCAACATTGTGGTCCAAAATTTGTTTAGTAATTTTAGTTTTGTTTTTCTCTTTAATGTGATTCTTTATAGCGCCAGTTTGTACGTGTATCGTGAGTCTACTTGATAACTTGATCGTCGTCATACCAAAATATTCAGAATTATAGTGCCCACACTCACCAATATTACATTTGAACAAATATATTAGATGGCTATAATCCATATTATCGATTCAAGTTTCCTTGTGCAGTTGTTTTTCATCCAAAGAGATGATGTTTTTTGGTTGGAGCAGTATATTCGTAGTTTAATACTATCGTTTTTGTTGGTTGTTTAAACGTTATTTTTTATGATTCTTTTTATGATTTTTTCATTCTGTTCAAAAGCTGCTGACATGTGATTCTTATAATATATTACTATGCTATTTTTGTTACTATTGTTAATTGCATTGTTGTTGTTGTTGTTGCTGATTTCTTGTTCTTTGCTTTCTATTATTTTGCGGATCATGGAATTTTTATATCCATTATTAATGAGTAATTTAGTGATTTTATCTAATTCCGTTCTGCTGTTTCTATATCAGAAATGTGCTCGTAGGCTCGATTTATAAAGTCAGAAATCATTCTCTCTAGACAACATTCACTAGTGCCATTGCCTCAACCTTTGTTTGTTGCTTTGGTGTATACTGAGGTTTTAAATTCAATTTGCCCATTTTGTATTCACTTCAAACAATTAATGATTCAACAAAGTAGAGTAGAAGCACTGTATATATATATATTTGAGCGCTTGGGCACAAACACAACATATCAATTTGAACCCCGAAGATGGTATAGGAATACCGAAAAAAGCTTTTCTGTTTTATCATGCATAAAATAAAAAAAAATTTCGCTTTTGAACTAAAGAAACTTGGAAATGATTTAGGATCAACCGTTAGAAAAATCGAAAAGTTAAATTGGAAGTTGAGTAACGCCGAACATGCTGTGATTTTCATCAATATATATATATATATATATATATATAATTTGGTATGAGGTTCTCAGATAAACATGTACGGTTGAAGATTACACCCCATTTTGCAGTTAGAAGTTTTTTAAATAAAATTTCAACAACACGAAGCTGTTTTGTTTCAACTTTATTAAACTGTGAAGTTTGGCTGACGGCCGTTTCGGCTAATGCCATCGTCGGAGCCTAGATTGTAAAACCAAATGAGGAGTTAATAATATAAATTATAAGAAATAGAAAATAGAATATTAGATATTAAAATGAATAAATAAATAACAACCTATATTTTAAAATTAACTCATTATATTTTATTTAAAAAACTTCTAACTGCAAAATGGGGTGTAGTCTTCAACCGTACATATATATATGCCTGAAGATGAATTATAAAATTTGAAACGTCGCTTAATAAATAATTATATAATGAATATTGGTGTTCTAATTTTTAATTTAAATTATAATTATAAAAAACTAATAAGAAAAATAGAAAATCTTAATAAAAAATTAAATAACAATAATATAAGCATCGCGTTTAATGAAATATGCTTAAATGAAAATTTGTTACCGAAATTTACTGATATAAAAACTTGCGATTTAACAAATAAACATCAGGATATTACTTTATCTTACAGAAGAAATTTAATATCTCGCGAAATTGAAGATAAGCGGAAAACTCGTGATGAGTTACAGCACGATTTGGACCTAGCGTATGAAACATGGAATAATATAATTGATCTTGATATTGAACTTAAAAATAAAATAGACAATAGTTTAAATAATATTATCGATCAACATTTTAATACATCAACAAATAAAATAATTGATAAACTATCTCGTTTATATCGCGGTAACTTCAAATTTCTTCGTCCTCAACAAGGTTTTGTCAATTTGTCAGATATAAAATTGACTTATCATCAAGAACGTTTGTTAAACTTAAGACTAAACTGTCATATTTTGAAGAAACCACATAACTTACAAAAACGAGTTGAAATTGAAGTGCTCATCGATCAAATTTTAAAATTGAATAATGATAAGAAAGTCATCATAAATCAATCGCTCATCCCTGACCTTATTTCAGAATCTCATAAAAATAGAGGTAACTATAAACACTCTGAACCACTTGAATTTCGTAAAGAACTCGATAAAATAAAACAATTCCTTGTCAACAATAATTTTAACAATTCAACAATAGATAAAATAATGACCAATGAAATTAGAAAGATTCAAAATAATAATATTAAGGTAAATGATAACAATGAAAACGTTAAAAACAACTCAAGTTATAATCACAATGTAACCGACAATGATAACCACGTTTCTATTGATCATAACAGCCATGAACATCAGAGCTCCAAATCAACACTACCATGACTGCCACAACCAGCAATTATCCCGCAAAATATTAGAAGATAATACTAAAATATTAATGAAAGACACTAATTTTAACAGACTACAAATTTTAGAATCCCTATTTATTAATATTTATAAACCTAATTTGAAGAAACAAATTTATTCCAATTTTATTTTACCTTCATCACGAAATGTTTAATTTATTATTATTATTATTAACATAATATTACACATATAATATATTTTATTATGTTATATTACAAAATAATTGTTTATTATACTTAATTTAACTACTTACGTTATTTAACTTTAATCGTTACGTTACTTTCGCGCTCAACTCTTATTACGTCATCTGACAGTTTATTGTTATGTTTTATTTGAATTAATATTAAATTGCCTGAAGATGAATTATAAAATTCGAAACGTCGCTTAATAAATAATTATATAATGAATATTGGTGTTCTAATTTTTAATTTAAATTATAATTATAAAAAACTAATAAGAAAAATAGAAAATCTTAATAAAAAATTAAATAACAATAATATAAGCATCGCGTTTAATAAAATATATATATATATATATATATATATATATATATATATAGGCTGGAGGGATACCATAACTGATGCAATATTTGATAAAATCTACCGAATTTTTAGATTTTGAGAGTTTACGATTGAGTTTTTCGATTCTTCTAACAGTAATTTATAATTATTAAATTATTATCAAATTTATTAAAATTATTTAAAAAATCGTTGGTGTTCATTGTGAAGCGTATATGGGCCATATTACAATCTTACTCATCTTCAGCGCTTATATAGGAATATTTTAAGATCTTACAATTCTTTGTGTGTGCTAAGTTTTTTATTTGTCTTTGTCCTGTGCAAAGTGCTTTTATTCTCGCGAACTTGTACAATTTTTTCTACACAAGCCACAAATTTTCGTTCAGTTTTTTACTCAGTCTTGTTTGTACACAAAAATTTGAGAAAACAGCATTTTTTAGTTATTTTCTTGTTTATATTTTAAGTAACCACCATCTGCTTATTTGGTTCTAGTTTTTTATTATTTGTATTAAACTATTATAGGCCTTGGTTTTTATGTTTCTATAAAGTATTCTTTAGATTTAACTTAAGAATTGGTATACAAGGATAGTTATTTAATCAAACATCAGGAATGGAGTGATAAAATAAGTTTAAAACTATCCTATTTAACTGTGCATACCCACACAAGATCAGATTTGGCGTTCAAGCCAAGCCAAACTTTAAAATCAATCTGATCTTGTTCAAGCCGAACCTGTGAACTGCGCATTTTGCCTAAATGACCTACACAATTACACACGAACTGATTTAACTGCGCAAACCAGATTGTATGTGGGGCCATTATGTTGGTGTCTTATTTCTTAATAATGGTTGAGTTCAGAGTTTCGGAGTTCGAATTTTTTCATCGGACTCCAGAAAGAGTTATAAATTTGAAATTTAAAAAAAATTTTGTTCTAAAATTTTTTTAAAGATCGTGTTTTTTAAGAGATAAATATGTGTAGCGAAATAAATACTAAAAATGTGCATGGAATGAAATCACATAATTTTCTTTCAGTATGTTTAGAAACATAAAGTAATTTTACTATCAAAAGCAATTACGTTAACTGATTTAAATTTTTTTTTAAACTCTGACTGATTTTTAAATGTTTTTTAAAATTATTTTTGTTCGGTAATGAAATTATGATTCAAAAGTTGAAAAAATTTTCTGGGAGTCGGGAGTTATTGTAAAAAATTTTTACTCCAAATCGGAGTCATTTTTGGGCGCCGGAGTAGGAATTAAAGTTAGATATTTTTCATTCGACTCTTGTTGAGTTCTCATATAAATAGTTTATTTTTTTAAGCTGGGAGTGGTGCGTTTATTTTTTTTTATTTTATTCAATACTGTTTAATTAATTTTATGGTCACGATAATTTTTAGTATAGCTTATTTTGTTTCGTGTTCAAAGTGTTGTTATTTATCGCTATAGTTATTTTTATTGTTTGTTTGAACGTTTTTTTCGATTAATATGTTTTTCGTTTTGTTACTGTATCCGTCGTAGACCAGCATGATCATATGTTTGATCCTTTTTATTCTTTGTTGACTAATGGAACTGGGTGATAGATAGACATGTTGGATTTGAAACATGTGTAGAAAATTACAAGCATGAACCGAAAAATATTAAAAATCCTATCAACGGTAAAATTTTATGAGACACATCAGTAATAACAGATCGTAAGATAGAAACCAACAGAGTTTTATTGTTCAAGATAAAACTGAAAACATCTACCTATTGATATATTTGTACCAGACGAGTTAAATTCTTTGCAAAAGCAGACGAAAAGTCTTCAAATTGAAATACAAAAAATGTGAAACTTAAAAATTAAATTTATTTTTATATTTGTTAGGACATTAGGAGTAGTTACTAAAAATTTAGTAAAAACTTTGAAAGAATTCCCAGTAAAACCGGCTGTAGCTGAAGTTTAAAAAACATTGAGTATGTTAAGAAAAATCTTCGGGTGAATCCCTGTGGGATCTAGTTGAACCCTGGATTCATCGACGACCAGCTTTAAACAAACAAGTTGTGAACATAAGACAGAGTATAAATAATAAAAATCAATTATCGTTTAGCGTCCAGAGACCCAGTTCTTTCGAGGTAGGACGTTGTTTTTCTTTCCACCAATTTTCTGCACCAAATTAGACGATCAGTTGCCAAATTTGGCGATCAGAGTAATAATAATAACAATAATGTCGTTTTATATAGCACCATGGTAGGCGACTGAGGCACATTATTTTTTATAACAGACACACAGTGTATAAATACATTTGAATCAACGCACCAAAAACATGTGATAGGCGGAGATTTTTTAGCATTAGAGCCTGGACACTGCGTCAACAATACCAAACACTTTAATCATTACACCATATATTTAATTAGGGTTGAGACTATCATAAATACAATTATTAAAAAAATAATCACCTTTAAAAATGCAGTATTATTTCTTAAAATTATTATGTATAAAATGATTAATTACAGAATTGGCTACAGTGTACCTCTTTTTGCAGGATTCGTCATAATGTTTGTATCAACTATGAGTGAGTTGAAAATTATAATACAATAATTTGATTTTATTTTCAATGACATCTAAGTTGTTTCCACTACAAATTATATGACTCATTCATATCCTCTTCCTGGTTTATTTTCTCCAAAATTAATCTTGTCTCACCAATGCTTCTAAATAACTACAATACTCTGTCCAACAATTTTCTTAATCTTCCGCCAACCCAATATTTTGAAAGCTTCTAATTTCCAACAATTTTCTTAATCTTCCGCCAACCCAATATTTTGAAAGCTTTTAATTTTCTTGGGTCTACTTTTGCCAGATTCTTGGTTACTGCTCCATATAGTACTATATTATTCCAGACCAATCACTTTTTGAGATAATTAATGGATTTTTTCCCAATAATTAATTCTTTTCTTGTAAACATTTTTTTAACCATTGCTGTTCTCATAAGGATTCTTTTACTGCATATTCCATCTTTTGTCATATTATTATTCTGTTACCTCGTTCAATTATGGTCTATTACCAACATATATATCGTTCTTTGGAGAACGTTTAGTTTATTAAAATTTAAAATAAAATTATTTTCTGAATTCTTGCTGGAAATAAGGCCATATTTCGATTTCGAATGAATCATCTTCATCAGTGCAATATAGGGAAATATTTACTTTTGAAAATGAACTTAGGTGGAAATTAAATTAGGTGTCAGATTTTTTCATTGGCTGGTGCTGCAAATAAGACCATATTTCGATTCCGAACGAATCATCATCATCAGTGCAATATAGGAAAATATTTACTTTGTGAAAATGAACTTAGATGGAAATTAAATTAGGTGTCAGATTTTTTTATTGGCTGGTCCATCTTCGTTGGTTTCCTTTTCTTTATTGATACCATCATATTTATCTTTGTCATTATTTACAATGCTATATAAATCAACTTGCACTGATGATGATTCATTCGGAATCGAAATATGGCCTTATTTGTAGCATGAATTCGAAAAATAAGTTTCTATTAAATTTTAATAAACTAAACGTTTTCCAAAAAACTTTAGTGAGAAAAATCGAAAAAACGAGCTACAAACATATTAACGCCAAACATTCGGTAGAATTTATAGAATATTGTAAAAATTATGGTCTATTACCAACATTTACTCGAAGTTCTGCGACCAACCGACTTAATCTAACAATCTAACAAGATCGCGAGCAGTGACTGCTCCATCTCTCTCGAGAAGTTCCGTGGTTTCCTTTTCTTCATCGATAGCATCATATTCTTCTTTGTCATTATTTACAATGCTAACCTTTGTTATCAGGTTGGTTAGCTTTTTGTGAAGTTTTAGTTTAGTTTTGATGACTGCATATATGCATTTATAAATTCTTTCTGGAGGCTTAGTTCATTCTTGACATTGCAATCAACATCACAATGATCCTATTGATTCAACAAATCAGTTAGTTGATTCGACAAGTCTTGAACTACATTCTTTTTAACTTCTAATTCTCGAGAGAGATGGAGCAGCAGATATTCAATGAAATTTGTATAGCTAAAAACCTCGTCCCAAACTTTTATTATTTTTCAAGTTTTATTTTTTTCCCCGGCTACATACAAATGTAATTTAATTAAAAAGCACATAGATTAATAAAAAAAAACAAATAAAAAAAAATGATAATTTTTTCAATTACAGTTTTTGCTTTTGCAAAGAACTACGTTGTTTTATTTCTAGCTAGAGCTCTTCAAGGAGTTGGATCCGCTTGTTCGAGCATATCTGGTTTGTACTAAAACGAAGTGGTTGTTTTTAGCATAGGTTTGATTTCACTGAATTTAAATTAATAAATTGTTACTAAGGTATGGGAATGTTGGCAGCGCACTTCACTGATGACAGAGAGCGTGGAAATGCGATGGGCATCGCCCTGGGTGGTTTAGCACTTGGAGTACTTGGTCAGTGTATTTTTTTCCTAAATCGTTTATTGCAGGCACACACACACAAATGCGCGCACATATACACAAACACAGTGATAACTTGAGCATTCAAAAGTACTAAGTACAAACTAAGTTGAATACTTAGTATTTATAAGTATCAAGTATAAGTATTAAGTACATAAGTTCCTAAGTGCATACCATAGTTAATTTGAAATGTTTATAAATTTATTAGTTTCAGAAATAACTTATCATTTACAATAATTTATTTACATCAATAAAATAGTTCGCTTTTTTTAATTAAAAGTATAGTTTTAAATGGTCCATCACTTAAACGATTTCTCTTAGGAATAAGAATCCTTTCGCTTTTGGTAAATAAACATTTAACATGAGCCGATGATGGCACAGTGGTAATGTATTTTGAAAACACTTGGGCGACGGTAGAATGATTTTTTTGCGCTTAAAATCACCTGGATTTATCCAATGGCATATTACTCCACTACTAAAACTTCATCGAGTTTGTTGTCTTAGCGTAGATATAGTAGTATTAAACATATTATATAAGATGACACCATATAATTCAAAAAGTTTAAATCATATATACATGAATATATATATATATATATATATACTTAATTAATTTTACTTATATATATATATATATATATATATATATATATATATATATATATATATATATATATATATATATATGGCTGTAGTGGTTAGATATTTTTGCTGTGATTAAATCTCAAATTTCTTCATTAATTTCGATAAAATGCTGTTAAAATTTAAAAAAGTTGATAAATAAAATTAGTTTAACACAAATCTATATAATTCTAAATTTTGATTTTTGTTAAGTTTAATTGAAAGTTTGTGGTTTGCTAGTTGAATTGCGGTTAGTTGCTAATTATAATATTGTGTACGCAGCATGGCTGGCCGTGATAAACGTGTAAAGTGTACAAAAAGTGTTAAAGATAAAAGTTTGTAAGCTGTTACCGATGTGAAAGTTCGTATCACGCCGATTGCGTTTCTCTAAGTGATGGTACATGTGAATCGCTTAAAACGAATGTCAATCTCAAATGGGTTTGTGACGGTTGCGTCAAAACTGCAGTTGAATTTAAAGGTTTAGACTTAAAGTTAAAAACAATGTCGATGTTTTTAATAATGAAGTAAAAGCAGTTCAAAAAACTTTGAATAATGTACCAAAACTTAAAGAAAGAGAATTGAACTTAATAATTTTTCGTTTGTCTGAAGGTAGTACGATCGTTCAAAGATTGTGAAGATATATAAATATTTATCAGATAGATTAATTGAGAAGGACATTGTTAAAATCACAAGGAAAAAAGAAAAAATTCTGTTCGGCCGATATTAGTTAAATTTGAAAAATTGATGGTCAAAGACAATATTATGCGGAACATCTATAAAACGAAGTCGATTTATGAAGAATTCCAACATATTGGAATCAGTCAGGATTTGACCATTGACCAAAGAACAGAGCACAAAGCTCTTGTTAATGAGGCAAAAACAAAGGAAGCAGCTTCTGATGAGAGTTTTTTGTTCAGAGTCGTAGGTCCAGTAGGAAGTGGGAAGGTTATAAAATTTGTTCCAGAAAAAAAATTAATAAATTGTCAAAGTAAAAATTTGAACGAGGTTGACTTAAAAAGGTTAAATGATAAAGTAGAGTTGAAAGTTTCAGTTGGATTACAAAATATTAGGTCAATTGTTTCTAAATTTGATATGGTTCATGGATGAGTTGGATATTTTTGTGTTAGTTGAAATCTGTCATAGGTCGTCTGATAATGTTTCAATTAAATTGTCAATGCCGTCTGGCTTTAATTTTGTCGATTATTTAAGAATGCATGATCCTTTACTGTGATTGTATTTTTTAGGTCCCAATTTAAATTCCAAAAAATGAGTCTGCCTTTATTTTTTACATTTGAAGCTGTGGCGCTCAAACTTACAATGAATAATATCATTATTATATCATGATTTCGTTGATTTCGTTTTGTTGGCGGTTGTCTGGTTCTGTATAAGTAAACGCTTTTATTTTTTAGAAAATTTTTTTAAGTTTAAATATATTGGTTGTGGATGATTTTAATGTCCATTTTGAAAATACTATTCTTCTGTTTGAAATTTTTGAACTGTTTCAATTGACTAACCATATAAAAAAGTCAACGCATATGGTGGTATACTTGACCTAATTGTCAGTTCACAGGATTTTCCAATTGCAGACGTTAAAATTTTTCCCAGTGGCATTTACTCAGATCACAGTTTGATTTAAGTTCAAATACCAATAAAACAGGTTTGTTACAAGACAAAAACTAAACTAGCCAGATCATGGAAGCCTACAAACGAAAACGACTTTTCAACGCTTATAGCAAAATTTGCTTTATCTAAATCATGTCAAAGTAACAATATAGATTACGAATTTAATGTCTTTAATGATGAATTAAAAAAATAGTCGATATAACCGCCCCACTTCATTATGTTAAATTTAGATGTAATCTCACTTCCCCTTGGTTTGACCGGAAGTGTTATATAGCAAAAACAGAGTGCCGAAAAAAACAATGCTGTATTTAATGCACGCGTTTGTCCACTCAAGATTGGACTACTGCAACAGCTTGTTTAATGGTTTACCTGACAGATCGGTAGCGATGCTTCATTCGGTGCAGAACAGAGCTGCTAAAATTGTTGCAGGCGGTGTTAAATTTGAGCACGTCACTCCATTTCTATAAGACCTACATTGGCTTACTGTCGACAAAAGGATAATTTATAAATTCAGTATGGTAATGTACAAGGTCTTAAATGGTTTTATGCCAGAATATTTGACTTTCAAGTTTCAGAAAAAATCAACGTTACGTATTGGCGCCATTTTGAAATCTGACGATGAAAATTTGATGGTTGTGCCTGTTTTTCGTTTGCAGACGGGGGTAAGGGATTTTGCAGTCTTTGGAGCGATGATATGGAACAGCTTGCCGGTGTCATTGAAAACAAATAGTTTAGAAATTGAAAACTTCAGGAAAAGTTTGAAAACTCATTTATTTAATCAATGAATGTAAAAAAATTTATTCTGTGATTTACTGATTTATTTTTCGGTTTATTATATCCACTGTTTTGGTCATATTAGTTAATTATTGGAAAGCGCCTTTGAAAAATTATACTATTATTTTTAATTGGCGATTTATAAATGTTAATAATAATAATGAGAACTCTTTTATTTTTTCAAAAGCCAAAATATAAATAAAAATTACAATTAAATATAAAATTATTATTATAATAGTTAAAAGATTGAAATAATGGATAATTTAACATCAATGCTCGTCAGTATGAATGTGTACAAAGATGATAAAATATAATAATATATAAAGTCAAGCTTTATTTCTGTCACAATATATTGCGTAAGTAGACGTTATCGCAGAATTGATTAAGATAGATCTAAAATCGTAATAATAATAATAATAGTAATAATAATAATAATGGATTAAGACTGCTAGAAATGCAATTATTGGTAAAAAACACAGCATGTTCGGCGTTAGTTAATTTCCAATTGTTGATGTTATTAATTTTGTTTCACTTGCACTCGAATCAAAAAGGTATCCTTTAGGTATCTTTATTGATTTGTGTAAAGCTTTTGATTCTCTTGATCATGGTATATTAATGTATAAGCTGTATTCGTATGGTGTCCGGGGATTGAGTTATGATTGGTTTCATTCATATTTAATAGATCGTTTCCAGTATGTCTGTATTAATGGTTCTAAATCTTTACTGTCTCCTATTAAATTGGGGGTTCCCCAAGGTTCTATCTTGAGACCATTGCTTTTTAATGTTTATATTAATGATTTTATTAATACTTCCAATTTATTAAAATTTGTTCTGTTTGCTGATGATACAACCTTACTTTATTCCCATTCTGATTTTAATGAACTTGTCGCTGTTATTAATGATGAATTAAAATTTGTTTATGACTGGGTTGTTTCTAATAATTTACGTATTAATTTAGACAAAACATGTTTTATCTTATTCGGACCTAAGATCAGGACCGATATTGTATCACCGATTATATATTTAAACAATTCTATGATTAAAAGAGTTGATTCTACCAAGTTTTTAGGTATTGTTATTTCTTCTAACTTGTGTTGGTTATCTCATATCAAATATATATCTGGTAAATTATCCAAAAATTTGGGTCTTATTTATAGGTTAAGGTTTAAATTTCCTAAATTTATTGTATCAACCCTTTATAACTCCTTAATTTTACCATATTTGACTTATTGTATTTCCGTTTGGGGTTGTGCTTCCAAATCTAGTCTTCATGTTCTAACTATAGCCCAAAATTTTTTTATTCGTATATTGTTTAAATTGAATCGCTTTGATCATGTTAGTGCAGATAATTATAAAATAGCTAACATTTTAAATATAAAACAGTTACATATTTTGCATTTATTACTTCTATTTTTTAAAATATTTAAATTAAATTATTGTCAATCTCTTTATGATCAATTATCATTGTATAAGAATACTAGACAAATTTCGTTACGTTTTATTCATGATTTTTATTTTCCCAAATGTAGGTCTAACTTCTTTCTTAATTCTGCCTTGTCTTGTTCTATGCGTCTTTGGAATGTGCTGCCTGTTGAGGCAAGGAACTGTTCTTCTCTAGTTCTTTTTCGCTCATCAGTTAATCAGCTAATCTTAGTTAATCATTTTACACTAACTTGATTTAAATTGTGTATTTATGCATAGTTGTTTATCCTTTGTTATTATGCATTTCCAGAGTTGATTGTTGATTTAAGTTAACTTGTTTATTCCTGTTTGTTTTTATTTCTGTTTAATTGTAAGTTAATTCCTGTTTATTTTAACTTGTTTATTTTTAGGGTGACCTCACAAGCATTTGCTTCTGGTCTCCTAGCTTTGCTGAATAAACGCAGATTTGATTTGATTTGATTTTACTTTCTAACGGTTGATCGTAAATCATTTTCAAGCTTCTTTAGTTCAAAACCAAAATTTTAGTTTATTTTATGCATAATAGAACAAAAAAGTTTTTTATTTCGGTATTCCTAAAACTATGTTGATATGTTTTGTATGTGCCCAGATGTTCATATATATATATATATATATATATATATATATATATATATATATATATATATATATATATATATATATATATATATATATACATA